GCACTAACGCACGAGCTGAAATGCTCTGTTGGGGAGGCAATCAGCAACTGCAGTGCCAGGGAGTGAAACGCAGTGCTTCCAAATCTGTGCCAGCTTGCCTGGCTCTGCCAGGCCTTGTGGTCCTGCCAGACAGCTGGTGACAGGTACGTCCCTGCCCTCTATCATGATGGTGGCCGCAGAACCACCAAAACCAAGAGACTTGAGAGGTGGATCCCAAAGGGGGATTGACCATGGCATGTCCTCACCTGGGAAATACTTGCGCCACTTCTCTGCCAGCATGCTGTCCACTGACTGGCTGGCTGTGGAAGACAGGCCGGAGTGGAGACCAGTGCTCCATGGCCACTGGTTTGCCAGAGGAAGACTGGCAGGAGGCATGAGGGGGCCAGCAGCTTGGACTCTCGCCAGCGACGTGTACATGGAAAGCGGGATGCCATCCCTGGTCAGCGGGGACAGTGGCACCGTCGCGGAGGAAAAGAGAGGAGGCTGCTGATGACTCAAGGAGCCCAGGATGCTGAGGACTCCGCTCAACTCACTGCTGATGCGCCGCAGGGAGTCTGTGAGGTGCTGGATCCTGTCGGGCTGGGGAAGCTGGAGAGGTGGGTTCAAGTCACCTACCAACAGAGGGAAGTAGAGATGACTGGCAGGCTAGGACGTGCTGGAGACACCAAGCTATACCCACAACCAACGCTGTTCTCGAATCTCCCAGCCGCAGCCACTCGCTCTCCCCTGCGCCACGCCCCAAGATGATCAGAGGCTGAGCTCTGTCAGGCCCAGCTAAGCAGTAAGGAACAGAGAGCAGTGTTTGGCTGAGGAGATACCAGGGGACCTTCACATCGATGCTGATGAGCAGAGGAGTGGAAGGCAGCAGGGGCACGCAGTAGATGATGAGAGAGCTGAAAAAGCCCAGGAGCCTTGGTGTTCTGGGGACTGAGCTGGGATGAGGAATGGGGACCTCATCCCAAACTAAAGCGTGAACTGTCAACTCTGGTTTGGAGCCTGTGAACGAGCAGAAGTCCCCTTCCCTTCTCCATCCTCCTGTGTGAGCCAGGCCAGGGACCATGCTCATAGCCCCACCGTGCTCTGCCATGTTTATGGAAGACAGCTTCTTATGAAGCAAGCCGCTGCTTCTGACAGCTTCTGCTGTGCATCTCTGATTTGGTTAGTCTCTGCAGTGTAACTCTTACCCTGCCTTCCACCTGACTGCAGGCTCACGTGGCTAACCACCTTTCTCGGCTCATGAGAGATTTGCTATTTAAGGAGAAATCCTCTGCAGATACACCCACAGGACCTCCCATCTCTGAGCCTGCCGGCCCGTCAGCCCTGTAACAAACTGAGCAAGGACATGGAACAACACTTCCCAGGCTGACAAACATCCCAAGACAGCTCCCTGTGAGGGAAAGGACCAGCCCAGGTCTTACAGCCCCACATGGGGAGAGTCTGAAGCTTCGGCAACCAACGCAGGTGACTTCAAAACAAGGCTTGCTAATGAAGGAGCACCCAGTAGCTGTGCCAGCCTCTTGGTCAGTAGCACGGTCCTGTTGCCCTTGGCACCTGGTCATCCAGAGCTATTCACTTTACAACCACAGGTCCCCTGAGCAACCACAAAGGGACTCAAGACTAAGGCAACAGCCTCTCTTGCTGGGGAGATGGGAGGTGGAAGAGGCCCAGCCAAGCCAATCCTGGCAGGACAGATGCTGAGAGGCAGGGCAACGCAGGCCCACTCCCGTCTATGACACGGGGCACACGAGTGCAAGCCACGCACGCTGTATGCTCTGCACTGGAACCACCACCCCCATTTCCAAGGGAGCACTCTTGCTCTCTCTCCATTTCACACAGACACAGTTCCATGGTAGGGGACAATCCCCTCCTGCAGCATGCCTGCCCCGTGGGAACGAGACTGCAACAAGCACAGGCAAGAACAAGGCGCATGGACAAAATGGGCACATGGAGAGGGAAGGCGGGACAGCTGGATCTGCACCAGCAGACATGGCAATGTGCATGTGGCTGTCACACCACCCCCGGCCACACCTGCAACTCACATGTATGCCGAGGTACATCGGAGCTGGCCACGCTGTTTGTGTCCTCTGAATCGCTGAGGTCAAAGGTCACCACCTTCTTGCATGCAGCTCCCTTCAGGGTGTCTTCGTCAGACACCTGGTCAAGAAAAGTGGTTAGGGGAAGGGCACATGCCTGCTTCACAAAACCAGCCTTAGTGCCCCAGGGACTGCCCAGAGCCTTGACTCACACATGCACACCCTAGACTGGATCCCACCCAGGGACACCTTCCCTGGTGACCTGCCACATAGGCCCTGATGGCTTCCCATCAGAGGGTGAAGAGGAACCTGCTGGCTCACACAGCCTCACCCACAGCAGAGACCGGGACTGATGTTCTTGTTTAAACCAGCACACAGTGGCATTTCCCCTCATGTCCCTGGGGTCACAACAGGCTCAAATAAAGCACTGCTTCATCTTGCACTAAACAACCAGGCATTTTCCACCTGAGGCCTTTGCTCATGCCAACAGCATAAATGGCAAGGTACTCATGAGAAGCCCTCCACCCCAGGCCCTGCCCTGGCTGCAGAGCTGGTAAAACCTAGACATTCACTCTAACCAGGTGTGTAGTTCTCTCCTGCTCTGCGACCTGCTTCCTCCACCCGCTACTCACATATGCAGACACACTATATAGATCTCAGAGCACATGCTACTTGCCACCCCACTCTGCTAGCCACCGCCACCCTGCTGCAAAGCTAAATCTCTCTTGCTGGACCCGAGGCCCCACGAAGCCCTCAGCTCAGGTGGAACTTCTGAGTGCCACTGGACATGGCTCAGTGGGCACGTGGCCATGGGACACCGAGTGGTGGAGCAGCTGGAGGTTACCTCTTCCACAAGCGAAGACTCCAACTGGGTCAGTTTCTCCTCCTTCTTCTTCAACAGCACCTGTCCTGTCCTCATGGCTGACTTCATCTTGTCCAACTGCTTTGCTTCCTGCAGGGGTGCCACATGTCAGCCACAGAGGAAAATAGAACGAGAAACAGGAGACAAATGGCTTTACGGACCTGGAGTTATCTTTAGAACTGATTTCGACTGGACGTGGACAGTTGTGGTCCAGGGTTCAGAGCCCCCCCGCCCCCAAGTCCCTAGTAGTATGAATCAGGGCAACAAGATGCTTAGAAGACTAATGCTTCAGATCTAGGGGGTCTCACACCTGCTAAGAGACCAATCCGTGCTCCACAAGGCCAAGTGCTTTGTGGTCACACTGCTCAGATCTGACCTACAGACCAAGACTGCATTCACCTCTAGCCATAGGAAATCCCCTGGTAACATTCACAGAAGACTGCAGGGGCTGGTGGCCAGGCCGAAGGACAGCTGGCTAGCACCCTCTGAATTCCAGTCCCATTTCCAACTTCTCTCCACTCCCTTTTCCAGCTGTGGAAGATTTGTGTGCTCTGCCACACACTGACACGCTTCATGGCAGGGTCACATCTCACTGGCGATGCAGCGGTCCCAGAGTATCATTTATGTATTAGCTGAGCTAGCAAAGACACAAGGAACTATCTGCAAAGATGTACAGAATCCTTGCAAAGATACAACAACAAACCTGCTCATATCAGAATTATCCATGTCACCGGGTCCTTGCTTTACAATTGGCAGGTGCAGCAATAAATGCATGATCTAGCAGCACCCACAGGGTTTTGGACATTGATTCAAATAATATTAAACTCACACATTCCCACCATTTTGAAGCCTAGTAAGCTATATTTCCCAAGGGTATGCTAACACCACCAGCACTGTGCTGCATCTTCAAGGTGCCTTCTAGCAGAGGGCTCAGAGGGCTTACAAACCTTAATGAATTAATCTTTACAGCCACCCTGTGACGCAGGCAAGGATTTTAATCTCTGTTTTATGGATGGGGATGATGACACGGGCAGAGATTAGTGCTGACATTGGGTGCCTAGCTGGAGACACCTGGGTGCTAACACCTAGGAGGGGAGAACACCTCCACCTGCCATAAACTACACTTGCAGTCATGGTCCCTGGGTCTCAGACTGGGCACCCACAGTCAGGGGCCACTTTCAGCCACCTGAACCTCAGCAGCACAGAAGGCAACTTGCAGCAGGAGCAAAAAGAAATCGCCAGCCTCAGAGCTCCCAATCTCACAATCCCCCCCACACTGAGCCAGAGCAGTGCTAGTCACCTCCTCCAGGTTCTGGCGCACATCCTCCAGCAGCTGCGAGCTGTCAGGATCCTGCACCGCCTCCTGCGCTTGCTGCATGTCGTGACGCCACTGCTGCCTCGCGGCCTTCAGCACCGTGTGCCTCTTCCTCATGGAGCGAGTCTGGCGCTCCAGGAACTCCTTGGCGTTCCTGATGGAGATGCCTTGTGCAGAGATGTAGTGCCGTATGCTGCAGAAGGGAGCAGAAGGGAGAGTGCTTGCACACCAGTAGCCCAGAAGTCTATCCACACTTCCCCCCAACCTGCAGCAGTTTGGAGCGGGTTTGGCTTTCCAGTTCACACCAGAACAGGCCAGACAAGTGTGATGATAGCCCTCCCAGGTGATGGGGTGGCTACAGCTGTAGAATGCAAGCCTCTGGGAGGCAGTTAACGAGCTTGCCCAAGCCTTTCTGTAGCTGTATCAGCTTTGCACACCAGCCAAGAACTACATGTCATTGACTCATCAGGCAACAACTGCACTAATCAAAGGGCTGTGACCTGTCCTGACGGGATGCTTTGAGGAAGGGCACAGCACTGCAGCGGGCCTTTTCCTCTTGGCCCATGTGCTCTAGACTGCAAGCCACGGATGGCTCCACTGTGCCAAGTGACTCGCTGTCAGCACATAAACCTCAGCAACAGCACTTCTCAAGGTGGCCGGTGCTTACTCATCAAGCCAGAGGTCGCCATCTTCGTGATTCTGCAAGGGCAGGGGAGCCGTCTGTCTTGAGGAGTGCTGGAGAGGTGAGACACTTCAAACATCAATTAATATGCAAATAAAAGCTGGACCCCAGGCCCCAAGAAGCCTAATAACACAGCGCAAACTCAAATCACAGCATCAGTGAACCTGCTCCTGGAATGGGGTACTGCAGAGGTACTTCCATGTGGGGAAGAGGGAAAAATAAGCAGAGGTTTCCCTCCAGTTCCTGGACTTGCCTTCCTCCCATGGTTCCCCAGCCCAAGGCTTGTACAAAGGTGATCCAAGCACAGACCCCCCCAGCAAACCTGGGATGAGAGTTCAAAGCCACAGTGACACGTTCTCTCACTCTCCTCTCAGGGATGAGAGAAGACTCTCGTATTTAACACCAACCAAAAAATATAACATGAACCAGAGATCTCTAGTAAGGCATGGTTCTGTGTGGGAATTTGCTGTTTTTCAGTTACTGCAGATGACCCCTGATGTGCCTCTGCAGATCCAGCCCAGCCAGCTCTGGATGGAGGCTCACTGAGCGAAGAAGAAGTGTGCTGCCCAGCAGCATACTTCCAATCTTGGGCAGAGCCAGAAATGCATTGCGGGACCCAGTCCCTGTCTAGTGGACAAGCTGGGGCTAATGCTTCTGCTTCTCTGTTAAATAACCTTGGCCAAGTGCAGTCCGCAGCAGCAGCCCAAGGCAGCGCAGCCAGGCAGAAGCTTGCACTGCCATGTCCAGCAGGACCGTGCCCACCTCCCCAGCTCCAAGTGCTTTTGGAGATTCTAGCCCTAAGGCAGCGGGACCTGAAATGCTTTTACTCACAGCGCCGACTGTCTCTTTCAGGTCCTCAATATGGAGCTCGGCTTCCCTTCGCGGAGATGCTGTGCTGTCTTCTGCTTCTAGCTCCTTCAGCAAGTCCTGCTTGCTCCTGATGGCTGTCTCTAGCTCACTGTCGCCGAAGGCGCCAGGTATGCAGGAAGGAAGAGGCATCAGAGATGCTGCTCATGAGAACAAACAAGCATGCAGAAACTAGTTCTCTAGAAAACTATTCAGAGCTGCAGCAGTGAACCCACAAAGCCCTGCGTAGCTCAGGAGCTGCAGTCTGGCCATCACTGGCTCCAGCCAGACTCATAAGCACAGGCTACTGGGCTTGTGTATAGAAAAGCTGAGTGGCAGGTCTCTGCCACCACCTGGCTAAGTCAGTCTGGGCCACTGTTAACTCTTAAAACAACGAGAAAGCAAGCCATGCTCTGGCTCATTCCTGGCCCATACAGGCCTTTACTCCCCTTGAGTCTCTCACCCTAGTTCCGCAAAGCATTTTACAAATATTATTTCATAGCACAGCTATAAGGATGACAACTATTTGATACAGGTTTTGAAGGGTGACAGCGAGGTCTGCAGGAGCTAAGTGGCTTATCCTGAACTTAGAGTTATCAGCCAATCTGGGATCAGCACCCAGGAGCTCTGGCCCCTGGTCACCTGTTTGCCCAACGAGCAACCCTGCTCCTCAGAAATCCTGTAGAGGTGCAGGGTGCCAACATTTAACAACTCCAGGGCCTGGAGGGGGTCAAACACAAGAGGAGCCACTGCTGCACCTGATTCGCTTCTGCAGCCTCTGGCTTCGGGACTGCAACAAGTCCACCTGAGACTCTAGTTCAGCTTTCTGATCTTCAAGTTCCTGCAGAGTCCGGCGCAGCTTTCGGATGGCTTCCATGAGGTCTGTGTGCTCCTTCCGAGACTCCTCCAAGCGGAGCTGAGCAGCCAAGATCACCTCCTGAAAGGGACATGAACATTTACATCCTGTGATTTCCTGAAATAAAAGCATGCAATGTGCAAGACGCACGTGCTGCACAAGAAACCAAGCTAGGAGCCCCCAGCACATGCAGCAAGCCTGTTGTCCTCCTCCAGCTTTGTCACAGCTTTTCTTTACTCAGAAACTGGCCCTGACCCAGAACCCCCATATCAGAAGAACCATGAACTCTGCAGGAATTTGCATCAGGGCTGCATGATACCCATCACTGCCAGCATTCAGATCCTGCTGCCATCAAGATAGGGGGTGAAGGCCAAGCATTGACTTCACGGAGCGTGGATCAGTATAGAGGACAGCAACCAGGATTCCTCAGGACATCAGGGTCCATGCTGCCCCTTCTATGTGCCTCTGCACAGGCTGTTTTTAACGAGACATGGGAGGAGGTAGAGCTGAAAATGGATCTCATGGCCCAGGTGAGCCTAGCAACACTGATGTACTTGGGGCAGGTAGAGACTGTCCCTTTTGGGCCACGTGCTAGGTGCATTCAGTCACAAGGCGGCTGAGCCGGCACTGTCTCCTCCCAGGCTGCATTCCCAGGGGCAAAGCCAGACACCAGATCTGGCTCTTGTGTCTCATGTCAGGTAGATAGAATGATCCAAAACACCATGGTCTGTGTCAAGCCCCTGGCCTCAACATCCTGTAAAGCTGTGTGGTTTTCCCCTTGAGGACAAGGCCTGAGGTCAGGGATGGAACGGCTGTTCAGTGAAAACTGTTCTCCCAAAGGTGACTGACAACTTTCTTCAGGGAAATGTACATGATTCCTCCACAACACCGGGCCTGGGCATAAGACTATGGCACTTTACAAGTTACCTGTCACCTTGGCTAACCTCTCTGTGCTCCCTCCCCCTTTTGAATGGGTTTACTCTTTTCTGTAATCCAGTTAATCTATTTCAGCTGTTTTCACCTGGTCTGCAGCTACTTCTCATAACTTCTCTTTGCTCCAAAGTTTACAGCCCACTCCCCTTTCTAAGTAATCACCTTCATCTAACAGGATTCCCCAGAAGTAACTCTTCTATCTGGCATTTAGCTGAGGCAGTACCTGCCTCTTTCTTTGCCCTGAGGAAGGGCATTGTGTTCCCCTAAAGCCTGTCTACCATCTGTCCCAGCTCCATGGTTGGTTCAATAAAGGACATTCCCTACAAAAGCTTGCTTCTCACATGCTCCAAAGCCCATGATGGCTACACTATCACTATGGGACACATGAAAACAGTCACCATTGTACAAAATGGTGCAGCAAAGAGAGAGGTTATACACTGTTCCCCATGTCCACTGGGATCGTAGAAGTCAGTGAACTGCAGCAAGGAAGATTGAGGTTAGACATCAGGAACATGTTTTTACCTGGGAGGCTAGTTAAGCACTGAAATCAATTTGAGGGCAGTTGTGAAATCTCTATCACAGAGGTTTCTAGGAGCAGGTTAGATAAGGGTCCAGCAGGAACAATTTAGAAGAGGTGACTTGCCCTGGGAAACAGGCCAGCTGCTTCTTGTCCTTTTCTCTAGTGTCCCACCTAGTCGTGCAGAGTCAGCTGCCTGCAGTACAGCACCTAAAGCAGTCTCCAGTCCCAGTTTCCTGGGAGAGGACACACTGAGAGCTGAGATCTCCCCGTTAGGAAGTTTCCCTCGGTTCTCGGTACATTTCCTTTTGTTGAGTTCCGTCCCATTAAACCTGCTTACAACTCTCTAGCCTGCTCTCCAGCCTCTTCTCCCTCCCTGCTGCGTCTGTCCTTCTTATGACTACAGGCCGCTAGGTACCACCCTGGGAGCCGTTCCACTGCCGCACAAACACTAGATTTCGCATCTCAGCTCTAGACCATGAAGACTACAATGACTCTGGTGCCAGCCCTGTTGCTGTGGCACTGCCACGGCAATGCCACAGAACAGGCAGGACATCCATCTCTGCAAGGGAGAGCCATGGGGACAGCAGAGCCAGCTAGGCTCTTGTCTCACCCCTCTGCGGGGACTGCACAGGCACATCCGAGGGGCTCCACACATTGCAGCAGGAGACGCAGGGACTCATCTTGGTGCTGGAAGCTACTAAGGTCTCCCAGTGCAGGGCCCAGCCAGCAAACTACTAGGTACCATCCCACTGACACACTAGGCAGCTCTGCAGTTAACACAAGAGTCAGAGACAAGGATCTTACTACCCAGGAAGGCACAGTACTAAGGAGTACAGCAGGTTGCTTGCTCCTCACATCCAGCAAGGTACAGGAGGAGGTAGAGAAGCGAATCCCACTAATGATAAAACCAAGCTCTGTGCACTACCTTCTCTGTTTGGACTCTGGAGAAACAGGCCCCACCTAATCGAGCTGCCGGCGGGACTGCTGTCCTCGTGGAGGCAGCAGGAATGACGGGACAGCCGTGTCCCACAGAGCTCGGGCATACATACATTTCTCTCCTGCTCTAGCAGTTTCTCCTCATCCAGTAGCTGCTGCCTTTTCTTCCTTATGGCCTCCTCCTGCATACACAAGTGAAGAGCAGAGAGCGAGTCATGAAACAGAGCCACAAGAGAACAGTCTCTATATCACTCTGGGCAAGGGAGATGTTGGACCCAAGCATGTGACCGCTCCAAGCCCTGGGCCTTTGGGAACCACTGCCCTACAGCTGCCAGCCTGTCCCTGTTCTCTCCACTCTCACTTTATCCCTTTCCACCATTTCTTTCACTTGTGCTGTTAGCTTAGAACTCACCCGGCTTTTTGGGCAGCCACTTGTCTGCACAGCTGGGCCCTGCATCGGCACTGATAACACAAGCCCTTCTGAATGCCCCAATGCTGCATTGTCTTGGGGACCTGGCAGGCATGGAGCCTGCAACTTGCCATTGCTTGTGGGAAGAGGGTCAGCCACATGGAAATACATCCAGACCCTGGCATCTTGCCATCAGGTAGCTACAGACTGCAGCACCACTCAGTCCCCTCATTTCCCCTTCTGTGAGCATCCTCACTCACACACGGTTTATTAAAGTAAGAGCCAGCAGGAGCAGGGTATCACTAGTCCTTAGCAACAGAAAGGACGCAAGGAATCTGTGGATGTGAAGTGCCCATGGAGCTGACTCACCTGGCTATGGAGCTGAGCTGACCTGGCCTTGGCCTCTCGTGCTCGCAGGTCGAGCTCCATTTCCAAGTCCTGGAGTTTTCTCTCCTGGGCAGAAAGAAAACATGTCTGAAGGAGCAGGCTGAGCAAAACCAGCATGAGGGGGCACGCTGAGCAAAACCAGCATAAGGGGCATGCTGAGCAAAACCAGCATGAGGGAGAGCACCAAGCATCTCTGTGTACCCAGGCTACATCCAGCAATGAGCTGGCCAAAGAGCTGTGCAGGCGCTTTGGGGCCCAGGGCACCTGGTTGAGGCAAGACAGGACCCACGACCGGAGCAGGGCTCGCACTCACCTGCTCCTGGTGGCTGCGCCGCAGGTCACTGAGCTGCTCATCCAGTTCCTTCCGCAAAGCCCGCAGCTCCCCATCATGGAGCTGCCGGAGACGCTCCATCTCGCTCTTCAGCACCCCAAGCCTCTCTGCTCTCTGCTTTCTCTCCTGCCGCCACAACAGCAACCAGTGTAAGGAGCAGAACATGATGCTTCACAGCAAAACTGCTCTCGGATGTGTGTACGTGCACACATGTGCAGCCTACCCCCACACAGTTGGGGAAAACCAACATTTTAACAGGCTGAGACCCAACTCAGTTGGCTGGGCAGTGCTGTGATACAAACTGTCCAGGGAACCAACACTACCGCACTCAAGGCCTGCAGCCTCAGGAGCATGCAGTTTTCCAACACCCCGGTCTGTGACTGTCATCAGAACCTGCAGAGTTATGGACATTCAAGGTCAGGATCCTCACAGATGCATCAGCAACAGACATGCCATGGTCTTGTGAAGAAACCTGCATGTGAATGTGGTACCCATGCAGGGATGCGCCCACACTCTGGGAGACTATCCAGGCACTCTCCTTAATGCTGCCCCTACACTCGTCGTATCAAACCCAATGGGGAAGGTTGGCCCAGCCACTTCCTACGCATCCTGTTTCCTACATAGACCCAGGACCTGCTGCAAGACTAAGGGCTCCACTGCCTCTGCTCCTGTGGCAACAAACAAATTGCTAAGGGCCTCTTCTGGCTCGCCATGGTGCTCTCTGGTAGTACCTCCTCCTCGTACTGCTCCTGGATCCTTGCCAGGACCTCCCGGTGCTCTGCTTTCATCCTTTCCAGCTTCCTCTCATGATCTCGCTCCACTTCCTGGCGCTTCTCTTTCATGAGCTCACTGAGCTGCAATGATCACAGAGGCAGCTTGCATTAAAGGCACAGCAAAGCACAATGCATCCCCCCAAACAAGCACATCAACACCCAGACATGCCAAAGCATCCCTTATGTCCCGAGACTGGTGCAGCCCTGGCCTGTGCACTGCCTGGCATCAAAAGGGTAAAGTGCCCGGTGTCCAGACAATGGCTTGGAGATGGACAGTCGCAATCCTACAGCACCACTCTCCCCTCCTCCAGATGGAGAGGTTTCCACCCCGCTCGCAGAACCACAGCCAGAAAGAAGAGTCACCTCTCTCTCATACTCTGTTAGGTGATAAGCTTTTTGCTGGACTTTTTGCTCTGCTCCCTCCAGCGCCTCCCGCAGCTGGGTCTCGTCACTCCTCTGTGTCTCTTCTACTTGCTTCTGCAGGCTGGCAATAACCTGCCACAAGAAGGACTCACAGTCATCTCGGCATCTGACCAGAAGCACCCCACTGCCCTCTCCCATAAACAGAGGCAGCATGGCAAAGCTCAATTTGCTCAGTCCCACCTCCCCTCACCTGGAGTAGGTCCAAGTGCTGAGCAAGATAAGAATCACCTTCAGGAGATGGAAAGAAGGGATGCACCCTTCACCAGCGGCACTCAGAGATGCTGCTAAGTGAAGAATTGCCACGGGTTGTGCTATGGCCCAGAAGCTAGCCTTACCTTTTCGTGTTCCTCCTCTGCTGCGGCTTTCAGCTGCTGGAGCTCAGCTGCAAATTGCTTCTCTAATCCCTCCGCAGCCTGCAGGAACATCAACAACAGCCCTGGCTGAAACCTCGCCAGTCAGAGGAACAGGGTGCGTAACCCCCCATCTGGATCAATTCCTTATGGGGAACCTTTGTACAAGCGCACGGTACAGGCCATCCGGGACCAAGGCGCTCACAAGGTGACTGGAGTTCTTGAAATTCCAGTGTCGAGAAGCATGGCTCCAATACCCAACAAGGACATACTAAACAAGAACATGTCCCTTCAAAGGAGGGAGACTGTGATCACAATGCAGTGTCATGGGTGCCATTTGGTCATGGGTGCCATTTGCCATTAGAAGCAACTGCTTCCTTTCCCTGTGCATGGCAGTATCTGCATTTATAAGACACTTTGCCTTAGACTGTGCTGCCCCTTCCCTCCCCCACACCTGCCATCCTCAAAGAGGCAATACCAGCAGAGCGGGGTGTTTTGCAGAATCACTTACTACCCTTTGGTAGGGTGGGTGGCTCAATCTCCTGGGCTGGGTGCTACCAGACAGGCCATGCTGGCACAGCAGAGAGCATGTGCGACTGCTCAGCAGAACCATGAGTCTCACCTCTTTTCTTTCTCTTTCTAATCTCTCCTTTATCTCATTCAGGACTCGCTCCTTTTCTTGCTCCAGCCCCATCCTCTCTCTCTGCTGAGCCTCCTCCACTTCCCGCTTTATCTTCTCCAAAGCACGTTTCTTTGTCTCCTCTGCACTCTCTCTCTCTGACTTCTGCAGGGATTCATACTCCTCCCTCAGCTTCTGTAACACAGCTTCTTGCTCTGCCCTGGTAGGTTGGTGCAAGGGGTGCAAAGAAACACACACATGAGACATTCATACTAAAATGTAGTACTGTGTTTACCAACCCGCCTTGCAGCAGCAACTGCCACAAGGAGTTCATAACCCTGAAGGAATGAAGAGCAAAAGCACAGCCAGGTTCACAAACAAGGATCCCTCAAGCTTTACCTAGAATTTATATTTTGGAAGTGGAGGACCAAACAGTCAGGCAAAGAACAAAGGCGCTATTAGTGTATCTAGAGGCTGCCTGTCTTTCTTTTCTATTATATGTAGACATGAAAACAATGCCTTATCTGTTTTCTCCAGCTCTCCTCATAAGCCCTTGAAACCCTTCTAAGCTAGGAGAAGATGCCTACTCAGCCTAACCCACTCAGTCATCCTATTCTGAGCAGACAATGGACAGTGGAGAATGCTCTCTCATCCACAGCCCTAAGGAATGGGCCTAGTTTAAGAGGAATGAGACAATCCCAGGACTTTTCTCTGTAGCATGATGCTCTGTCTTGCTTCCAAAGGCATCAACCTCTTCAGCTTGAAAAGGGCCCAGCAGACCCCAATGCAACTTGTCAGTTTTGCCTTCCATGAACAGATGTTTCCCTGAATCTACTGTGATCATTGGCACTGACATGAGGGGAACCCTGCAAACACGGGACAAAGTCACCTCGCTGGCTAAGGCGTTGCCTACAGCACCTGCACACGAGGTGTAGCACTTGCCAGTGCTCTTCGTGGACAGGGTCTCTTCCCCCACTTCCCCTCCTGTCTTCCCCCATGACTGTGGAGTTCTGATTCATGGGGCATGCAGTTTCCATGACATGGAGTGAATTCCCCACCTGATTTTCTCCTTCTCTGCCTCCGTCTCTGCGCTGATCTGGGTTCGAAGCTTAGAGAGCTTCTTGCTCTCTTCCTCTCGCAGCCGCAGCTCCTCCTCCTCAGTGGCCTTTGCTAGCTCTTCTTTTAGAGACCTGAGAGATGAGCACCGCATAAAAAGATCAGATGCTGTAATAACTTCCCCCCAACTTCCCAAGGCCCACGGATCCAGGGCTGGTTCCTGGTGGCATCACCTGCCTGGCCAAAGCTCACCTGGGGTCCCAGGCCCAGTTCTTTCCCAGACCCCATTTCTTTCTTTCCCAGTGAGAAGCTCCTTGGCTTGCTCCCTATGTGGCTGTCAAGCCCATAGACTAATGGGCTCTCACACTTACCAGGGCATATTCCCTACGCCTAAAAGCCTAAATCTGAGGCCCCTACATGAAGCCTAAAAGTAGCAGAGTTCAGCAAACAGTGCTCCTGCAGCAACCCCACATTCTCTACTGCTTCAATCTCCAATCTTATTGCCATTTAGCCAAGGACTTGAAAGGTTGCCAAATAGTAAGGCCCTAAACACAGAAGGGAATGCTGTAACCAAGTTTGTGACCCCAGGGACACGTTCAGAGCCATATTGTGACCCACACCTGTATCAGATCAGAGCTCCTCCTACACAGAAAGGCTCCCTGATCTGCCATGGAAACAGCGCTTTACCCAGGCACAGAGGTAGCACGGCCCCAAGCACCTTTAGGAGGGAACCCCATGGACTTCAAGAGGTGCAGGCTGCCACGCGCAGGACAGAGCCTGTACATGCAGCAGGAGAAACCATCCTTCCACCCTCTGCCTCCCCGGCCCAAGACACTGGTGGGGTGGCACCCATCCCGTCTGCCCGCTGTTATATGCGTATGCTGGCAGCTACTCCAGGACTCGGGGATGGCACAGCGTGGTACAACCCAAGTTCCCAGCCTCCAGCAATGAATCACAGCGGTGCGCGGGGGCTGGAGCACAAGAGGAAATCACCTGAGGGATTTCTCTTTCTGCTGACGAAGCTCCTGAGCTTCTTCCTCCTCCTTTTGCCTCAGCTCTTCCCGGAGTCGCTGAACTTCCTCCCTCTTTGCTTGCAGAAGATGAGTGTCCTCCTCCCCCAGCTCCTTGGCAGGTCCCTCCAGGGGCTTCTCCGCAGGCTGGTGCGAGGACACTGCTTGCTGGGTCCCCTCCTCCAGTTGCCTAGCATAGACAGTGAGCCCTTCAGAGCCAGTTACAGCTGAATTGCACACTATGACAAGAGCCACAACACTCCAACTCTCAGCAAGACCTGCCCCCATGGGCCTGAAAGCCATTCGTGGACACCGGCGATGCACACCTTACCACACCCCTGTGAGACAGGGAAAGGACAGGCAGAAAGTGCTGTTCCCACCACTTGGTCTGCAGGACAGCCCCCTGCTCTTTCACCAAGGGACAACTTACCACAGTTTAGCTGCCACTGCCTATAGGGGAAGAGCATGCACACAGGCAGTTACCTCAGAGGCAGCTGGTACACAGTAAAGCTCTGCCCCTTTCTACCCTACCATGAAGTACAGTTTTTAATGCTGCTTCTTCTGACAAGAGGCAGCGCAGCCATGAAGCTCATGGAAAAACGTGCTTTGGTCCGGGCACAAAATATCCCACTCTATCAGTGGCCATGTCAAAGACACAAGGACTTGGCAGGCTCACTCAGAAGAGGCAGATGGGCCTCAGCCTTGCTGGGACCTGGGAGCTCAGAGGTGCCAGTCACACCGGCTGAGTGTCAAAAACCCAAAGCAGCCACTGGAAGTGCAAGTGCACTGGAGCAAAGCAGGCACTCGAGACCCCGGAGGACTCACGTGTGTTCTTAACACACCTGCAGTTCACAGCTCATGCTAATGCCCACAGCAGAAGTGGCATCTACCCACCAAAGCCTAAAATCTCCTTCTTTCCATTTAATTAATCCATTTTCCTTCTCTGGCCACCATTTGTTTGAAAAACCATGTGTACACATCCACAACACAACTTTTCCAAGGACAAGGCAGTGGCAGCCACCACAGCGCAAACATCCCTGCCTTGCCCTTCCAGACACCACGGATTCACTCACTCGCCTTTGCCCTGTGAACTACTAGGCCAGTTTTGCCCAACTGCATCCACTGGGCTCTTGCTCAGTATGGGCAGGGAAGCTGACGAGACCATTTACAGTGGGATGCTTTATGTACTGCAGAGTAGATGACTGCAAAGACCCATTTATTCCCTGATAAACCTCTGGATTTTCCTGGGCTGTGACCTCACCAACTCAAATGAGCCATGAATTAGCCACTAAATGTACTTCTCCCTTATGGCTCCAGGTTTAGCCACATAGCCCATAACTAGAGGGGTGCAACTGGCCTTGTCAGACACATGCAGTAGCCAAGGGGCTCCTCTCCAAGCTGGAAGTGAGCAGATCTTGCCTGGAAATGAACTTGAGGGTCTCCTTCCTCTCAGTAACAAGACAAGGAGGCTTGTTTCCATACCAGAGAGGGGCTGAGCTGAAAGAGAGGAAGAGAAACTACCCCCCTGGCTCCCCATGCAGTCAGAGATGTACTGGGTTACTGGTCAGCTCACAGCTCAAGGGGAATTAAATCAAGCCCTTATGCCCTGTGAGAGATGACAGGGCACTCTGGACTGATGGGGCAATGCCTCCACTTGCTCCAGGGTGTAAATCTCTTGCTGTTTGGGATCCTCTAAACCTTCGGATTTTTCTTCTGCCTTTTTGTGAGTGCTGAAGGGGCCCAAATCGCTCTCACTTGGCAGCAGTGGAAAGGGAACAGAAGTGTGGATTAGTGAAAAAGGCATTTAGAGGAGGGCGGGGGCCGGATGCAGTGCTAGCACTTGGGGCAGCGCTGTTGCACACTTGCCAACAGCACCTGCTTGGCTGCAGGGTGAAACGATGGCTCCCTTACATCTGCAGCAGCAAAGGATCTGTGGGTGGTTGGGGGCTAAGTTGGCACCTATCAATCTCCCTCTCCTCCAAGTCCTTGGAGAAATTCCCTGGGATGAACCAGCCCATTAGGCATACTCACACTGCATCCAAGTCACAGCTGGAAATGTTGGCAGGCACGTCCACATCGCTACTCCCACATCTTAGAGGCAGAAAGGAGAGAGACTAAGCAAGTATAAAGCAGCTTCATTAGCTGAGAGAAAGAGGGAGGAATTTAGAGAAGCAGACAGAGCTCAAGGAAGCAGGCCTAAAATGATCAGGAGAAACCTTCCATGCTGGGAATGCGTGTCCAGGAAGCTTTCCCATGGGCAACACCTCCCAGCACACACTCCCAGGTGCCTGCAGCAGGTCACTGAGGACTGCCCCAGCTAGCTCGGTTTCTCTGCAAGGTCCCTTGGAACAGGGCCATTGGCAGTACCAGGGCATGGTCCCCGGTGCCTGTTTGCCCGACAACCCAGAAGACCATGCAGTTTCACAGGGAGAGCAAGATCTCAACACGTCCTCTGCAAACAAACCCTACTCTGGCTCCCCTCAGAACCTCAGGGGCAGACTGAGTTGCCTGGTTCACATGCCTGCAACACAAATCACCAAAAAAACCCTCCCACCACCACCACTTTCTAGCCCTTGCAGCAACCAAGTGTCTGGAAGCTGGGCTTCTCTGGGTATAACCAACATCACTCTCTGGAATTAAATCTCCAGGAGACAAAACAATCTAATCCAACATGCATTCACATTCTGACTTGCTTTGGGGTGGTACCTTCAGGGAAGGACACGGAGCTGAACCCACTTATGTCAGGACTGGGTTCACTCAATACCAGCAACAGAGAAGCCAGGCCTTCCCTGGACACCCTGAAGCCAGGGACAAGCTACCAGTGCAAGATCAATATCCCAACAGGCCCAGTGCCCAGGGAATAGGGTGGGGCCATGATGGATCAATCATACAGACATCTCCAGTGGTCGAGTCTCCCACAGTTAAATGCCAACGGGAGATCTGAAACAATCCAGAATGCACTGGTAGGACAGCCAAAACACTGGCTGATCTTAGCCTGGTCAGCAATACAGAGGAGAAAAATAACCTTCCTAGCCTTTGAGAAGAGTCAGATCGCCTGGAGGGAAACAAGGAGCCAACTGCGCGTCTGGTGGAGCTTACAGGGACATGAAAGGTAAGCAGTTTGCTCGCTTCCCCAGCCAGAGGCCTGAAGCAAGACTGAAACCTGCTGATACAGCAGGGGAGGGGGGGGAGGCATGGGGGAAGAGAAGAGAGAAAAGTGAAAGATGGAAAAGCCTGCAAGGGGCTGCAGAAACTTCAAGGTATTTTATCAGGGGGATTCTTGCAGGGGTTGCAAAGACCAGACCATAACAGCCTCAGGTGATGGCTGGTCAGGAAAGCAGCCTGGACCCAGAGGGTCCTATGCACCCTTTGTGGCTCTGCACCATCTCTGTGCCATACCTCGCAGCGCTCTGGGCCCTTTTGCTTTGCTCTTCCTCTATGCTGGCTTGGCTCTGGTCCTTCTCCTCTTCTCCCAGTTCCTGGGCCTGCAAGTAAAAGCAGAGTGGAGTTAGCCAACTCTTGTGCAGTCAACGCTTGTCTTGAGAATGCACAACGGCTCTGAAGAAGAGCTGCTGGAGACCTGCACCAGGCTGTTCCCATCATTGAGCACTTCCCCATGTGCCAAACCAACTAGCTCCAGAGAACCATCCAGGCAGTCCTCCAGACCACAGTGCTCTGTCCTTCTCCACTGCATGCCGAAGACCTAAGAGAACATACAAGCCCTACTCACCAGGCCTGCAACATCAACAGACAGATTCCCCATTTCTGTTGGTGCTTTGAAAGTCAGGCCCTGTCAAAGCATCACTGGCCAGACCCCCCCCAAAATCACTGGTTGCTTTGGAACATTTAGGCATAAATTGCTCTTCCTGTTCCAGACAAAGGGAAGTAGACATAGAAGTGGAACGCTAGGCCCAAGCCCCAGTGAGCACACATGGAGCTGGGAACAGCCCCCACCTCATGCTTCAGCCCTGTCCAAATCCTGGCTCCTCTCCAGTATGGAGTCAAAACAGGACGGTCCTGATATAGGAATAAGGAGGGCTTGTGCCTGATTGCCTGGAGACCAGCTTCCCCCAGCACTGGGCAGAAAGAAAGGCTCCCTCCATCTGGCTATGCACTTGGGGCCACTTGTGCTGCCTTCTTAGTGAAGGGGCCATACCCCTGCTCTTCTCTCCTGCCCAGAGATGCTGCCCCCAACAGTGCAGATGCTCTGGCAGGGGAAAGATGAAACCATGAGCCTGTAAAACCCGCTGGGAATAAAGGAGTAGAGACACAGACAGTGGAGCCTTGGGTAACAGCGTAGGACAAGACTATGCCATCAGAAACATCCCCACTGCCCTGACTTAGCCAGGGAAGGGAATCCCCAGACCTCCCTGGTGGCAGTGGCCCTTCAGGAGGGAAAGCGTTAACCGTGCCTCTTTCCAGCGAGGATCCAGGCACTGGTGCAGGCGCCGCGGGGGCGGGGGTGGCGTGCTTACTGGGGGTGGAGTGCTGAGAGCTCAGGCATGACTTTGCCATATGGAAGTGCACCACAGGGCAGAGCCAAAATAAAAACGAAATTAAAAATAGCAGTGATTTATGCAAATTTCTAGCGGAGCAAACAGCAGAAGGATTCCCGGCTAGTGCTGTCACTTCCTATCATGTCAGTGTGCCGGCTCCCTTCCTCCTGCCCCAGCACAAAGAGCCGCAGCTCCCGAGCACAGGGGAGCCCAGCAAACCTCTTCTCCCTCGCCCTGGGCTCCATCACTGCCACCTCGACAAGAAACCATGGGGAAGGAGCCTGTACTGGGCCCTGCTGGCCCTGGCCCTGTGCTGTGGGCTGCTACCTGGCTGTCCCTCAGGACTCAGATCTGTTGTGAAACGGGGAGGTCAGCCCATCTTGCAGGGGATCAGGCCCCCTCCCAGGGGAGGGCTGGCTACTAGACAGAGCAGGGGACGGGCTCTGAGGCCTGGCTTCCAGTGTGGCCCTGCCAAGCCATCTGCCCCTGCAGCTCTATGAGCAGGCAGCACCCGCCCATACAGCTGCAGGTGAAGGTGCCAAGGACAGTTCTTGGCTTGGCTTTCTGTCCCTTGGTTGTCAGGGATGCTCAAAGTCCACACTGAGACAGAAGCAGCCATCACGGGAAGACTGGGGTGGGGGGAGGCTAGCACAGGTAAGGCTGCCATGGCTCCAAATCTGGCTTTCTTTTAAGTTAAATAAAACAGTAATGCCCTGAAGGGGAGACTTCACCTCTTCTCCAACTTTACTGTCCAGCCCTCAGACCAGGAAAAATACTGCTTGCATCCTATGTGAAACCTGTACTGAAGGCTCTCAAAGCCCTTGGTGAGGGGTGCAGCGCTCTGCCCTTCTTCATGGCCAACACTCTCCCCGCTGCAAAACGAGGCTGTGAGGGGAGAAGGCAGCAACCCACACATCCATACCTGTCCCCAGCAGAGGAGCTGGGAGTGAAGCCCAGTCCCTCATTACAGGCAACAGACAAATCAGGGGCTAAGCTGCCACACAGCCTGACAAAACAGACAGGCTGCAGAACCCACATCCTGGCACCAGCCGTTCGGCTGCCACACTGGCCATTTCAAATCCACACTTTGCCAAAGGACGCAGAGGCAGAGCAAGCCAGGTCTGCAGACAAACAGTCCAACAAACCCTGCCAGTGCCAGGCAAAAACCTCCTGTCTCTCTACACAAAGGAGCAGCTGCAGTTCTGCAGGGGGCACCGCTCAAATCCACCTCTCTGTGTTCGAGACCAGGCTGCCATGAACTCGAAGCCTGTCTGCTCCAGTGAGGAATCTGTCTGCACGAGCCTGCGCGGCAGCAAAGGGGAGAGGGGGTGGCAGGGAGGCAGACGGGGACGCAGCAGGCACGTGCTCTGTTTGCCTTTCGCATCTCATCATCCTCATTCTCAAACACAAGAGGACAGGTGTGTACTCCAAAGCCAGCAGAGCACCCTGGATGGCTCTTCTCTGCTGGACAGGTGGCGGGTTTGTCACTCGGGGTCTCTTCCAGAACAGCTGATTGATTCACTTACAATCAAATCAAGGCTGAGTGAGCCCCAGCTGGAGCCTGACCTGCTGCCTACCCACACGCTGCAGAGCTCATGTGCTGCAAGAGAGGTGGCAGGGGAGGCGGAAGCGATACGTGGCGGGCGCACTGGGCTGCCAAGGCGAGTACAAAAACCCAAGATGCATCCAAATCCCCTGCAGCCCAACACAGCCCTACTGCAGTCACGCTCGCTGCTGAACGGGCATGGCTGCCACTCTTTCTGCTCTGTATAGACTCTGAGAGCGGCTCTCAGCTCTCAGGGAAAATTTGGCAACCTACTAAAAACAAAGCCTGAGTCCCGTTACTGAAAATGGTCAAGGCAAAATACCCCCTCCTCTCTCTCCCCCCATCCTTTTTTTTTTTTCTCTCAGCATGAGGGATTTGTTTTCCCTGCCACCATTTCCTGTCATCCAAATCCCACCCATCTGCTTCTGGGGAGGAAAGAGACATACACACGCACAAATGAGCAACCTGGCAGAAAGTCCGCCTCACCACCACAGCCCCAGAGAAAGCAATTCTTTGTACATGCCAGGGAGCCAAGGGCCAGAGGCATGCACATTCCCAGATACAAGCCTCGTAAGCCATCGGCCCCAGGCATCACCGCTAACCAGACACCTGGGAGAGGCACACACTGCAGCTTATTCTGCTCCTTCTGGACAGGCCGCTGTACTCGTGCCAACCAAATGTCTCATCCCAGCTCTGCAACAAACTCATTGTGCGGCCTTGGGCAAGTCACTGAACCCTCTGCAGAACCTTCATTTCAGAAGCACAGAGCACAAAGCCTTGTCTGTGGTTGAGCAGCTAACAATGCAGCTTTCTCCCCCAGCTGCTGCTCAGCACCCAAGGTCAAGCATACTGCCACCACTCACCTCCAGCTCAGAGCCATCCCGGACAGGAGATAGAGCGTCCACATCCAGCACCTGCTCGGAGAGACGACTTTGGAAGCCAAAGTCCTAAAGAGAACAAAGAACAAGAGGGTCAGTTCCTGGGGGGTCCACAGGGGCCTGTGCTTCCTTCCAGCCCATCTGAGCACCCAGGGCCGAGTCGCTTGTACCAGCATAGAGAAGAACTGCCCAGAGAAAGATGGTTACACTAGGATTCAACAAAACATGCCTGAGAGGTGTGCCACTAAGACAAAAACGGTAGGCAGGCAGCCCCTGCACTACACCTGCTTGCAACACCAGTGCCGAGGCATGGCCTGGGATACCCACTTCCCAGGCTGGGAGAGTCCAGGACAGGGCAGAGTTCATGCAGCAGAAGTGGAGAGCAGGGAAAGATGGTCCAAAAGACATTCACCAGCTCACAGTTCTCCTGCCAACTGACCTGCTGGAAACAGATTTTTTGGAGGCTCCAAGCTGGACAAGCCATGGGCCAGGGATTGAGAACTGTAAGCCCCAAATGAGTAAGCCCGCACACCCGGGCTGCAGGGCTGAAACACCACAGGCAGAGGACTTCACAGGACTGCTTCTAGCCCGCCTGCTGTTTCATGCTGGTACGTGCCTGCCCCCACCCTGCAGGCCCAGGGGGCAGACACACCATGCGACACATCCAAAGGGCCCCACAGAAGATCTTCCCCCTGCTCCTTGCATTTCACACTTTGATACTGCAAGACCACTTCCTAAAATTCAGCCTGTGCAAGCTGTCCACAGGGCTGTGGCTCTCCGAGATGTCCTCCCTGCCAGCCCAGGCCTGCGCAGAGCACATGTGCACGGTAGCAGACCCACGGAAAGGTGCTGCTGGGAGCCGTAGCACTTGCCAACACATGGGCTGCTGCTAACGCTGACAAATAATGTCATTCCCAGCAATGCTCTGGCCACACCGCCTGCGCTCCTCCTGGCAGATGGCAATGGCAGCTTCCTGCAGAGATGAGAAGATGCTGATGGGCCTTTTCCTCCCTATCTCACGGCTACCCTTCTGGATGCCCCCCCTCCCCCTCGTGGAGCAGCCAGGTTCCCCACCCCCCTTCAGCAGGTGGGAAGGGGCCGTTTCCCACTTCTCTCTGAGTTTTTACACTGCTTGTCACTGCCTTTTTCTTGCCATTCTCTAATCTGGGCCACGAGTGGTAGCGTAGGCAAAGCTGTGCTGCCTGTCTGAGTGTGCTGCTTACTGGTGAATTTGCATGGTAGGTGTGCCCAAGGGGCTTAATGCACCTAAACTGGGAGGACTAATTAACTCCCATCACAGAATACTGAAAGAGCTGGCACATATAAACTCAGATCTGGTAGCAAGGTCTTTCATGTGTCACTTAAAACACATGGGCTAGTTTGTGATGACTGGCAAACTCATGTTTAGGGACAGGGAATAAAGTCATCTCGGCAACGTTTGACTTCCATAGTATGTAAAGCTTTTAAATATATTTTGAAAGAATGATTAAACACATGGCCTGGATGACAGTCGATGCCATGTTTGCTTGTGATGGGACAAAGCCAGGAGCTCCCTTCTTGTTCTGTGTACTATGTTCCTAGGATCCTAGTACAAAAAAACCTATCAGAAAAAAATCACTTGTAGTTTACCTGGCCCCATACCATAGCTCATCTTGGTTAATAATCCCTGGGATAAGGCTAATGTTCTGGGAGGGTTTTTAT